TCAGAGGCATGATTTTACCATGATTAGTGTCTTGAGCAAATACACAGCATTTTCCATCGTGACATATGGACGTCCTTACAAAATTTCATAGATTCGCCATTGCTCAGAGCTATTTCAAAATGAACAAGTTTTGTGAAGAGATACGGGACAAAGTTGCATTACAGGAATCACCATAGTGGCAAAATGTGCAGAGATTGAATGCGTTCGAAGCGTGAAAAACCCAAATTTTATATTTCCTATTTACCTTTACTGAGAAATTGCTTTGCAAAGTTTTTTTTTTAAATGAAATAGTCTAAGAGAAGAGTATGGGAATGATGTAACAATAATGATATTTATCTGACAATGAGCATATAATACATATGTTCTTGATACCCAACTACTACGAAAACCCGTAATTAGGCTACATTTCCACGCTGTAGGCGTCACCATATTCATAAAGCAATAATTCAAGAATTCGAAAATATGTTAAAGATTCAAGCAGGAGTCACTTGAAAAAGAAATATACAAAAAATCACATTTGGAAAATTCCTGCACGTAACATTTGACTTCAAATATATGTGCAATTCACTTAAATCCAATTCGAATAGATCAAGGATTATCAGGAAGAATAGAGAAGCAGGAAAATATTGCAGTTATGGGAATTAGACTATTTTGACAACAAACTTTGCTGACCATAAGTCCAAGATATAGCAGGATTTCAACCATAAACGACCGTTGACAACGTGTCACTAAAAAAAGGTAGCGATGCATTGTTACTACTAAATAACAAAAATTTAGGCTTCAAAAATCTCATGCTAACTTTTCTCAATAATCGGAAAATAAAATTTTTTCAAATTCAAAATCAGACAACCGGTCCACAATTTCACTTGCAGACTAGTAACCTGTGCATGTTTCAATCAAAAGATGTACATTGTGTTATCGAGCTCCTCTTTCGATGGTTGTTTCAGGTCCATGTGTGGAAGTGTAGTTGGCAGATAGAAATGGTCTGGATCTTGTTCATAACCACGGCTCATGACAACTGCATCCAATAGCAGGGAAAGTAGAGCGGCAATGAATAACTGCCTAAAATGATAGAGATAAATGAACAAAAAAAGCTTGTAATGCTTATTTCTACGACGGAATGAATGATATACCCCCAAAAACATCAAATTTACAGACCATCAGTGGATTCTTTCCCAGTTATCTAAATTTTACAAGATATCGCTAATAGCTGGCTAGAAGCTGCCGCAATATCAAACCCATTTTTATAAATATGCCAATGAGCAGCAAATCAATGTAAACCAATTCTGTTTTACCTCTAGCTTTAAGAAACACATTGAAAGGCAGTGCCTTGACAATCCTATCGTTTTTTCTAAATTTCCTAGCCCTACTAGCCTGCCATTTTGAGCACAGTTCAAAGACGAGTTTACCAAAAATTGAGCTTTTGGTTTTTTTTTTACGAAGAAGATTTTATGCTGGGAGAAAGAGAGTGGAGAGGAGAGTAGCCGCTCAAGCTTCTAGTTTTTCAACAATTCCCATATAAGCTAACATACTATAGGATCGTGACAGTGAAGCCTGAGAAGTTCAAAAAAAGCATAATCGGAGACCTGATTATAGAATGTAGGAATTTACAAAACAATTACTTCTTCAATTGGACGCTTCAACACAATTACGCCTTTGAGGATCGTGGGACAAAACTTACACGACAATGAATATCATCAGTTTGAATTCTCCCCCAGGAGTTGGGAAGAATGTGAGAATTGACAGCGAAACGAAGAATGTCAATGGTAGACGAACAAGCGCGAGAAGAACAGAGCGCTGATGAAGGAACGGTAGTACAGTGGTCTAAAACTATGCTCAATATAATTCGACCAAATAGTAAATTTCACACAGGTGCAAAAGTCGACAATATCTCAGAGACAATTAACCTTAATGCTTACCTGCAAAGCCTCCATAGCTGGGCTGTAAACTCCACAAGCCATTTCAAATATCACCAAGCATATGAAAACACGCTCAAAACGAGTTTCAGTCCAGTCGCTACTGAGAAAAGGCAGTTCACGAACTCTAAACTTGTAGTATTACAAGATGTACTCGTACTAGCATGATGATTCCAAAGTAATATGATTTTACATCACTCTAAGTAAGCAGTATGAGAACTACACAGAATGGGTCATTTCAAAAAAAGGGCCAGATCATAGCATTCTAGTTTGATGCATAGTCGAAAAAATTTTGAAATATGATAGCAGAAAATTGATGGAGGTTGAAAATGAATAAATT